TCTACGTACACACTATGCAACCAAAATGCACTATGTTAATGGTACAATTTTTTCCAGCATAACTGTGTTGGGATTTATTGTTTCCACTCATACAAGCAGAGGTAAAGTAGGTTTTAAGTAGCTTAAACTTCTTGTAGGGTAACATCTAGCTAAGATCTAAAACACTGTTTAAATGTAGTTTGCTGTTCTCTGAAAGTCACTTTTTCTGACCATTGAAATGCTTTGTTTTACAGCTGGTTTGAGTTTTGTTTGGATTGTTTCTTAATCTTAAAAGGGCCTTGATGTTTGTAGTATGCATTTTCTTTTGCTGCAGTGAAAAGAAGTTGCTTGTTGAATAAAAAGGAAAGCATGAAGGCACTCCTTTCAGAAAAATGGAGACCCTAGGAAACTTATTTTCTGCTTCTAAACACTGACTTAAGATTTGTACACCTTTATCCAGAACCTTTTTTAACAACAGTCTTGGTGCTCCAATGCAGGGCTGTCAGGTTTTACTTCTACAAATAAAACTGTATCAGCCTGAATGGTCGCTCCTCATTAAGAGTTTGACATCATTGCACAGCATATTTAATGCTAAAATAGTTTTTACCTGTTTGTTTGGTTTGCATCAGTTTCCCTTTGGTATTGCTAATTTTTATACAAAGTATTCAATATTTATTCTTAAACTTTGCTCTGTACCACAAAAAGACAATTGTTTTGTAAAATTTGTTTTGAATAAACAGACTTATTTCTTTTAAAAAAACCGCAAAACAACATGACAAAGGTAAATATCTCTTATTTTCTTTCTAAGTTCCCTCTTACGAGAGGCTTCAAACTACTTCCCTCACCTCCCCTGCTTCCTTTTGGTTCTACCTTGAAACAAAAGGCAAAATTGGCATTCCCAGGAAAACAGAGAGATTAAAAATTTGTTTACCAAGCTTCTGTGCCTAAAGCTGTGTAAAACTGCAAGATCATAGAAGCTTAATCTGTAATATAAATTCCAAATTTGTCTGTTCTCTTTAGGCAGTCATTCCTCCAGAGATGTGTATGTAAAGTCCTACTTCAGATCCCACTGTGCACCTTTTGACAAGTAGCTGATGGTTTGGAGACCAGTCATAGTCTTTCCATAGGGTATAATTACATTTAGCTGTAAGTTGCAATTTGGTGTGTGCCCCCATTTTCTAGCGTAATGTCTCAAGCCAGCGTTTTTAGAAATCTAGTCTTTTGACATCGAGTAACTTTAGCATGTACCAGTGTGAGTTAGGCATAACCTAAGTATGAATTATCTATCTCACACTGAAGAAGAGAACAAAAGAAATTTAAGTCAGTGAGGACTGTGGGGTTTGGCTTGTAGGACGGTGGGTTATGTTGTGGTTTTCTCATTTTGGATATTTTTTTTAATTGCTCTTTTTGGCCTAGAAACAGTGCAATTCAACTAAAACTGGGTTTACTTGGTACTTTTTGTTAAACTAAATTACCTAAGTATTTGGTGGTTTAGAATATATCATTAATAATCTTTCAAGACTTTGCAGAAAGGGAGAAAAGATGATTGCTTGTATTCAAAAAACAACCCAAACCAGAAGCTTCTCAGAGGGATACAGTCAAATACTTATATCCTGGACACAATGAAATCTTTAATACTGCTTTTTTGTAAATACATGCAAAGCTTATTCTAATGAATTTTTTTACCTCATGTCACATAATTAATGCTTCTAAGGGAAAAAAAATCAAAACAAAACAAAGAAAACCCCAAAAACCAAACAAGCCCCAAACTCAAAACAAAACATAGGTCTTGCTTGCATTTCCAGCTTATTGACTGTGTATAAATGCATGGCTGTAAGCATTTCAGTGACTGGATTATATCTCATCATTTATTAATCTTAATGGACTTCAAAGAATTTACTATAAATGCAGTTATTTGTATTCTAAGAACAAGCAAATACCGCTGGCTGGTGTGTGCAGCCTTACCTCCTCCTTGTTGACAAGTTCTCATCGCTCTCACTCATCACCAGGACTCTGCTAGATCCTCCTTGACTGGCTTCGTGCATCACTTCAATCTGAATAGAAAGGACACATTAAAAGTGAAAATACCTAACTCCTGATGCTTTTATTTAGACAACTTCAACTCCTGAAAAGATGAAAAACCAGATCCTACACGGTCTAGTAAGTCACTGAACAAGTTAAAGTAACTGAATTCTGGATGTGCAGGATGTAACTGAAGAATACCTCCTCTCTCTTTTTCTGCTTCTTGGTCGCGACTGGCACGGCAGGCGTTCCTGACTCTGGGCAAAGTCTTTATGTTCCTCTACCACAGAAAGTGAATTATCTCCTTATGTAGATAATTACAAGTGTAGCGGTCTGTTCCTTAGACTCTGAAATACTTTTTTTTGTTTTGCTTTCAGCCTGAAGCCAACCCAGAGACTTCGCAGTTTCAGTTTTTGTAGAGTGCCATCCTGTGTCTCTGGGAAGTGTCTTTACTAGTAACAGTGTTAGATACGACAGCACCTACCCACAAATGCTGAGCAAGGGTTGTCCCCAGGTTGAAGTGGACTGGGACTTTTCACTTAATATTTTGATAAATATTAACCTACTACCTGTGAGTTGGATCATTTCAAATGTGCTTCAAGCAAGTTTTATGCAGGCTTTTACTCCTCTTGCCTGCAACTTTAAAAGTACCGAGCGCTACTTGGGCTTGCTTGCAGGCGATCTCTGTAAATTTAGTAGAGCAATTTGGCTGCTGAG